ATTAAAAAGACAGAAGAGGAAGAAAAGACCAAAATGGATGTCAGAAGAAACTCTGAAGATTGCACTGGAGCGTAGAGAAGCCAAAGCACAAGGAACAATTCAAGATACCTTACACTTACCGACCTCAAAACCTACAGTACAGCCATGGTAATCAAAACTGCCTGCTACTTATATAGAAAGATACAGAGACCAATGAGCTAGAACTGAAAACTCACAAGTAAATCTATCCACTCATGGGCAACTGACCTTTGACAAAACAATGAAACTGCCATTAAACAGGGAAAGTCAGCCTCTTTAACAAATGGTACAGAATGGTACAGGCAAAACTAGTCTCTATTTGCAAGAAAAGAAAATAAGATCCATATCTTGCACCATATAAAAACTAGGTGAATCTAGGCATTATAGCTAAAAGAAGAAAGATCATCAAAGAAAAAAAAAATTGGGGCACTTAGGAGCCTTAATTTATGGCATAAATAGACTATCAAATATAATAAATAATACATAATCAGCAGAAGACAGGCTATTTAGACCATCGAGGAATTAGTTCCCTATGTGCATCAAAAGAGTGAAAAAGAAAACTTACAGATTGGAGAAGAAATATTCAGCAACATGGCTGACAAAGGACTAATCTCTGAAATACTTTAAAAAAAATCCAACATCTCAACAATAAAAAGACAACCCAATCACAAAAAGGGCAGAGAATCTGAGAACATATTCACCAAATAATTCAGATGGCCAACACATGAAGAATTGCTCAAGGTCAATACTTAATGTTGTCTACTGTCAAATCAGATCCAATTCATAGTTGACTCTCCAGTGGGTTTTCAGAGACAGTAAATCACACAAGAGGAAACTGCTCATTTTTCTCCCACGGAGGCAGTAAATTGCATATAAGACTGTCTATCTTCTCCCTGTGGAACAGCTAGTGGATTGGAACCACATGCCACATGCTTCTTGCCACTAGGCCACCAGAACTTCATTAGTTACTGCTGTTGGTAAATGCCACCAAGTACAACTCAAAGCGACCCTGTGGACAACAAACCTGAACCCTGAATTATCTTGTGCCATCCTTATCATCTCTGACACACTAGAGCCTGTTGGTCAAGTCACTCCATCTCGTTAGGAATCTCCTTCTCTTTCACAGACCCTCCACATTTCAAAGCATAATGTCTTGTTCCAAGGACTAGCCTCACCTAACCAGATGTTCAAAGTATAGAGACAAAGCTTTGCCATCTTTGCCTCAAGGGAGCACCTCGGCTGCGCTTTCTCCAAGACGTATCTGTTTGTTCTTTTGGCAGTACATGGGAATATCCAGTACTTTTCTTCAATACCACAACAAAAAGGCTTCAATTTTTCTGTTATCCTTAAACAGGGAAAGTCAGCCTCTTTAACAAATGGTACAGGCAAAACTAGTCTCTATTTGCAAGAAAAGAAAATAAGATCCATATCTTCCTGTCAATAGCTTGTTTCAGCTTTTTGGATGATCTTAAAAAAGATGTTGCTTGTTTGCAGTATTAATGATATTGTTCAATAACTTCCACATTGTTTTGGATCATCTTTCTTAGGAATGGGAACAAATAGCGATCTCTTCCAGTCAGTCAGCCAGGCAGCTATCCTCCAAATTTCCTAGCATAGACTGGTGAGCACACCCAGGTCTGCTGCATCTGTTACAGAAACATATCACTTGGTACCCCATCAATTCCTGAGGACTTATTTTTTTGCCAGTGCCTTGAACTAAAATCCTTACCACTGGCTCTTGTTCATATGGTACGTCCTAAAATTTTATCAGTGTCAATCAATTCTTTTTTGGTACATTTGACTTTGTGGATCACAACAAACTGTTGCTAACCTTGAGAAGAATGGGAATCTCAGAACACTTAATTGTGCTCATGTGAAACCTACTATACTTGGACCAGGAAGCAATCATTAGAACTAAGGAAACATTGCTTGGTTCAAAATCAGAAATGGAGTGTGTCAGTGATGTGTCCTGTCCCCTTATCTTTTCAATCTATATGTGAAATAGATCATTTGGGAGACTGGACTTTTTGAGGAGGAATATGGCATAAGGATAGAAGGAAGATTCACCAACAACCTGCATTATGCACAACCCTGTTGCTAAAACTGAAGAGGACCTGAAGTGTACATTGCAGAAGATCAAGGACTGAAGTTTTAAATATGGACTACAGCTTAACATTGAGAAAACAAAGATTCTCACCACTAGGCCAATCAGCAACTTCATAATGGATGGAGAAGAAACTGAGGTTTTTGGTAACTTTAGCTTGCTTGGTTCCACCATCTTTTCACCAGAAGTCAAGAAATTAAAAGACAAATTGCACTCTTTCACCAAGGACCCGCCAACATGGGCTGTGTTCACACCAAAACCATGAAGAAGGCGGCCTGGGTCATCATTGAGAAATACTACACATG